CCTTGCCCCACCCTCACTTGGCCCCACTGCTTTCTACCTCACTTGGGGAGAGAGAAGTGAGCAGGCTGTTAGCTTGTGCACATTCCACCTCCAGCAGCCTTCTGTGCAATGAGGGAGAAGGGACCAGAGTTCACAAGTTCAGGGAGAGCAAAGGCTCTGGGAGAGGGGCACTGGATCCCTGTGGGAAGAGGGAAGGCAGAAAAGGGGAGGTGAAAGGGATGGGAGAGACCAAAGAGAGAGAGAGGGCCAACCATGAAGAAATGAAGGTAGGAGGGACTAGATGAGAGATTGTTGTTGAGAAAGGGAAAGGGAGGAGGGAAAATGCTGTAGGGTCATGTGGCTCATGCACAGGCCTGGAACTCCTGAGTTCCATTGCCAGATCTGCCACTGACTTGCGGTAGGGCCTTGGGCCAGTCTCATCCCTCTTCTTTGCCTCGGTTTCCCCATCTATAATGATCTTGGGTCACAGGTGGGTGAGAGCACCTTCATAGCCTCGGATGACAGTGTAGCATTCATTTACTAGCATTAGCTTTCATTTATTAGCATTAGATGATTTTGCTGGTGTAGAAAAAGTTCATTCACTTCACACAAATCCATAAGCATGTCACACAAGGAGCTACATAGAATTTGGCAGCTATGACAACAATATGGTGAGGGATGGGCTAAGGGGACATGTCTAAGGAGAGGAAGGATAGTGAGGGGAGGGAGTTCGGAAGAGAGAAAAGGGAACAGGAGGGGAAGCAGTTAAGGAGCTGGAGGGGACTGAGTACAGAAGGGAGTGAAGGAGTGAGAGCATGGAGATGGGGTGAGGAGGAATTGAGGGAGAGAATGGAGAAAGGAGTGGGAGGAGAGGAGAAAGACAGACATAGAAGCAGTAAGAGACCAAAAAGAATGAGAGAACAGACAGGATGGACAGTGAAAGAGGCAGAGAGGACTGAGAGAGGCAGAGAGGAGAGCTTATTCCCCCTCTCGGGTTGCAGGCTGGGAGCAAATGGAAGAAACCTTTGTGGCCTCGTCAACAGGGGAAGGCATGGAGGTGATTGACATGGTGCAGAACGAGGATGCACAAAGACTGAGGAACGCAGTGGTGAAGGATTTGCTGTTGGATCTGGCCATCTCCTTGAACACAGGCAGCATCATGCTCTTTTTTTTATGCGTGACATAGAACCAGAAATCATTGCCATGCTCATGGATGAAGACAACCTGAATGTCTACCTGCGTTTTATGATTGCCTACTAGGCAGCAGTGCTTTTCCCCACTACCCACACCCCAGGGAACCTGTGAGACCAAGTGACAACAACAGGCACCTTCCCCATCACCCAGACCTGGCTCATCTCCCAACTCCCTTGAGAACAGCAATAAACCCTCAATCCAAAGCTTGTGGAATCTCTTATAAATCAGACTTCCCCATCTCAGGATCTCCATCCTCTGTCTCCCATCTGCTTTTTATGGCAGAGCAGAGCACTCCTCAGTGAGCTGGGCCAGGGGGCTCTAAAGGGGCTTATGCGCTGCATTGCCATGTTGGTGACCTACCTATGGGTTACAGTCTCAATTCCTTTCTCACCTGGTGCTGCTAAGGTGACAGAGACCCAGTTTCTACAGTGTGGCAGCCAAAATACCTAACGGTCCACCAGCGCAGTGACTCACCCTGTAGGTACTTAATGGTTAATAGTTAAACCAATGACATGGGTTGTTCACATGAGAATGAGTGAAAGGAACTTGCTACACAAAGGGCAGCAGCTGGTCCCTCTGGTCTGGTATTCTGTCTCCAACAGGGGCCATTACCAGATGCTTCACATGAAGCTGCAAAGTCCACCATAACTATACAAACATGTGCTTACAGGGGAAGGTATTTCTTAATGCAAGCAGTTAGTGTTTGTTTGATCCATAAACTAGTAGGTCTGATATTCTTTATAAGAGCTGATCCTATCCAATGTCCCTGCAGATATTTTCTTACTCAGGTACATCTCAGCCTGCTTTGAATCCCACTTTACTCTGCATCTCCATAATATGTTGAGACAATGAGTTCCACAGGCCAACTATGCCCTGTGTAATAAAGTCAGACACTGTAATGGCCAAAAATGTCCCATATTTAAAGATGTTTCTGTCTTTGAAAGAGCAGCAGTGTAAAGGGCTTACACAATTATGTTACATACATTGCTGGAAAAGAAACTACTGAATGACAAACATTTTTCTCAACTACATTCCAGAGAAAATGTTTTTTTCCTGATTAACAAGGAGTAAAAAAGTCAAAACAGAGCCCAATGTAGATTACTGTAAGCATCAGTTTAAATAATAAAGAATAGGTTTGTTGGAGACATAACACAATCTTTTTTTGATGATGAAAATTATGAGTAAAATAACTAAATACACTTTGAGATACCAATTATAAAAAAAATCACCAAAATAGCCAATAGAAAGCATATGAGAAATATTAAAATTGACCTGCAAAGGATTTTTAAAAATTGGGCTTGTGCCAACTTTTGCTGGCCTGGGAAGGATTTATTAATTTATTTTCCTTTTTTTTTTTTTTTTTTTTTTTATATTTGAAATTCAGGTCTTCCCAATCCTAAAAGACTTTACAGAAATTGGATAAGTAGGGAAAAGATGACATTAGTAGAGTCAACAGAGACTGAAGTCTGAGCAATTGTGATGGGAAAGGTTTATAGATAGTTCAGAACTCTTTGTTTTTATTAAAATCCAATGAATCAACAGTTTGGACAAAGGATGTCTACCCCTTCAGCTGAGCTATGGAAGCTCACAATACAGGTATTCGCAAAAAGAAAAGGAGTTCTTGTGGCACCTTAGAGACTAACCAATTTATTTGAGCATAAGCTTTCGTGAGCTACAGCTCACTTCATCGGATGCATACCGTGTGCTGGAAATGGCCCACCTTGATTATCATACACATTTTAAAGAGAGTGGTCACTTTGGGTGGGCTGTTACCAGCAGGAGAGTGAGTTTGTGTGTGTGTGTGGGGGGGGGGGCGGAGGGTGAGAAAACCTGGATTTGTGCTGGAAATGGCCCAACTTGATGATCACTTTAGATAAGCTATTACCAGCAGGAGAGTGGGGTGGGAGGAGGTATTGTTTCATGGTCTCTGTGTATATAATGTCTTCTGCAGTTTCCACGGTATGCATCCGATGAAGTGAGCTGTAGCTCATGAAAGCTCATGCTCAAATAAATTGGTTAGTCTCTAAGGTGCCATAAGTACTTTTCTTTTTGCGAATACAGACTAACACAGCTGTTACTCTGAATACAGGTATTATGACACCCCACAAGAAGTCCTCTGGAAAAACCATGAAAGATCAGGCTGATCTTTCTAAAGCAAACACCAACCAGAAAAGAAAGCCTTATTTTTTGTAAAGGTTTTCTTTATAAAGCCTTCTTGTAAAGAAGCAAAGGAGGAGACATGCAACCCAAGTACAATGGAGTGAGTCAAAATGAGCTGAATCATTCTCAGTATATATTGCTCATAATTCATTAGGTCAGGCTGTAGTATCTGAAGGAAATAAATGCAAAGGAAAGAGGAGTATTTTTCAGGGAGTCTTGCTTGAGGTGACTGAACTAGGAATTAGTGGAACAAAATTGAACACAGAGGAAAAGTTCGGGTGTGGGAATCAGTAAACACTTTAAGAGTGATCTGCAAAGGATAGCAACATTTGGCTTGTGCTCTTCTTTGTGAGGGACAAAAAAGGCCTAACAGGATTTGTTAAGGTGGCACCCCAGTCATGAACCTGGACCCCATTGCTAGGCACTGTACAGATACAGAACAAAAAGGGAGCCCTACCTAAAGAGTTTACAGTCCAAGTAAGGGTGTGTCAACACATGGAGTTATTCAATAATAGCTGTCCCTGAATAACTCCATGAGTAGTTAAGCTCTAAGGTATTCACCACCTTCTTTTTTTTTTTTAACCTTAGAAATAAAAGGAAAATAAATCTTGTTTTTCCTGTTTTGCTAGAGGTCTTTCTTGGAAGACATGGATATGTAGATTCTCAGATCTCACAGCCCATACTGGAAGGGCAAGGTATGCCCTATTTACAAGAGCTTTGCTTCACACTGATTATTCAGGTATTTGAGTTTGTTAAACAGATGTTTAAAAAACAAAAGCATCACCACCAACAACCAAACAAATGGTTTTAAACAGTTAGAGTAGAAAAAAATCTCTTTCCATCTCAATGAATCAGGTTTCATTTGCATGATTTCTCTGATGTCATAAAGATCCTAGCTCTCTGGTAGTCCAAGAGGCTTCCAAGAAAAGCATGGCTCACAAGACCTGAATTTCCAATGTAAAAAAAAAAAGAAAAAATATTGGGGGAGGGGGGGAATGCCAACACATTCAGGAAGCAAACAAATAAAAGAAAAGAAAAACCCCAGAAATCCACATTTGTTTCTCATTGGAAGTAATCTTAAATATGTAATATTAGGTTGTTTTTTTTAAAGGGAGTCAGTGTGATGCAGTGGATAATGCATAGGGGTAAGAGTTGGAAGGCCTGGGGTGAAATCCAGCCGTATTAATATCATAAGGGAGTTTTGTCACTGACTTCAAGGTAGCCAGGATTTCACCTATGGTTTATTCTCTCATCTCTGTCACTGACCTGCTGTGCGATAATGGTTAAGTCATTAGTGTCTCTGTGCCTCAGTTTCCCTATCTGTAAAATAAAGATAATGATATCTAACCCTCTTTGTATAGTGCTTTGAGATCTATGTATGAAAATCACCAGCATATGTGCTATTACTTATATCAAAATGTGAGTTTGATATACACCATTTTCTCAAGACTAGTAGAAATGTTTCTATGATTTTCTTTGTTCACTCCAAGGAATACAGATTTTTGTTTGGATTTAAACATTCTCCTGCAGCATTTGTAACTCTGATATTACAGCAATGACCTACTGCTTGAGAGCTGGAAAATAAAACTGACAGAAAAAAAGTGAAATTCAGCAGTCTATTTTCATTCTCTCATACTGAGTGAAATTCAAAAATGAATCAATCAGCATTAATAGTAAATAGTACATTTAATATTTTAAAATTATTTCAATTATAATTTTTCAGTCAAAAGTGTTACTAATAACAACACAGGTAAGGAACCTTTTATTCATGTACTTTCTCTTTGGCTTTAATCAGTGAGAACAGAACAGTGGAATAGTCTTTCAAAAGAAGTGCTGCTGAAGAATATACTGTGTTGGCCTACGCTGGCTGGCACTGGATTCATAGATTCCAAGGCCAGAAGGGATGATTGTGATAATCTAGTCTGACCTCCTGTATAAACAGGCCATAGAACTTCCCCCAAAAATTCCTGTTTTTTTAGAGCAACATCCAGTCTTAATTTAAAAATTGCCAAAGATTGAGAATCCTCCACAACCCTTGCTAATTGTCACAGTCATAAGACAATTAATAGGTCTTTTCCAGCTTTAATTTTGATGCTCATTCCCAATACCAGTATCTACTTCCAAAGAATCACCACACTGGTAATACAGTAAGTCCTCACTTAATGTCCTCCCGCTTAATGTTGTTTCGAAGTTACGTCACTGCTCCATTAGGGAACATGCTTGTTTAAAGTTGTGCAATGTTTTCTTATAACAGGTTTGGCTGCCTGCTCTGTCCACTGCTTGTAAGGTTCTGTGGAAGAGCAGCAACTTTACAAGGAAGCATTGCACAAGTTCCTCTTCTCTGCCTCCTCCCCCTTCCTCCCAGCGCTTCCTCTGCCACCAAACAGCTGTTCCTCACTGAACAGAATCCTCTTCTCCGCTCCTCCCCCTACCTCGCAGAAAGTCCTAAGCACTGCCAAACAGCTGTTAGGACTTTCTGGGAGGGGGGAAGGAGCAGGGATGCGGTGTGCTCCAGAGAGAAGGTGGATTGTGGGTGGGAAGAGGTGGGCCTGGAGTGGAGCGGGGATGGGAAGAGGCGGGCCTGGAGCATTCCCCGGCAAAGTCAGAGCCTGTTCTTCAGGGGGGAAGTTTCTGCTGCTGCTGCGAAGGTGCTTCCTAGTGTCCTTGCCTGCAGCGGGCTCTGCCTGTGTGGAGTAAGCCAGGGGCACTTTCCAACCACAGTACAGTACAGTACCGTACAGTATATAATGCCTTTTGTCTGCCCCCAGAAAATTTCCTTGGAATCTAACCCCCCGCATTTACATTAAATCTTATGGGAAAACTGGATTAGTTTAACATCATTTCACTTAAAGTTGGATTTTTCAGTAACATAACTACAACATTAAGTGAGGAGTTACTGTATAATGGTCAGAATAAAACAGCTCCCACCATTTAAAAAATTTCCCAGAGATAGCTTTACAAAGAAACCAGGCATCCGTGAGCTGCAGGAGGGGTGTGTTCACCAATTCTAGTGAATTTTAGGTTTTTTTGTTTTTTTAAATATAGGTCTAATTATCAGGGCCTCCAAATTGATAGTTTTCAGGCTCTTCTTAGTAACACACAAACATTCTTAAATGCCAGTTTTCTTGCTGCTCCTGAAATCCACTATATCTTCACTCTTTGCCTCCCCTACACTGCATTGCTACAGGACATTTGGTTACAACGATACTAGGTCACAAAAACATAACAGCAGTGACATAAATATAAAGGGAAGGGTAAACCCCTTTGAAATCCCTCCTGGCCAGGGGAAAGCTCCTCTCACCTGTAAAGGGTTAAGAAGCTAAAGGTAACCTCGCTGGCACCTGACCAAAATGACCAATGAGGAGACAAGATACTTTCAAAAGCTGGGAGGAGGGAGAGAAACAAAGGGTCTGTGTCTGTCTGTATGCTGCTCTTGCCAGGGACAGAACAGGAATGGAGTCTTAGAACTTTTAGTAAGTAATCTAGCTAGGTATGTGTTAGATTATGATTTCTTTAAATGGCTGAGAAAAGAATTGTGCTGAATAGAATAACTATTTCTGTCTGTGTATCTTTTTTGTAACTTAAGGTTTTGCTTAGAGGGGTTCTCTATGTTTTTGAATCTAATTACCCTGTAAGATATCTACCATCCTGATTTTACAGGGGGGATTTCTTTATTTCTATTTACTTCTATTTTTTATTAAAAGTCTTCTTGTAAAAAACTGAATGCTTTTTCATTGTTCTCAGATCCAAGGGTTTGGGTCTGTGGTCACCTATGCAAATTGGTGAGGCTTTTTATCCAACATTTCCCAGGAAAGGGGGGGTGCAAGTGTTGGGAGGATTGTTCATTGTTCTTAAGATCCAAGGGTCTGGGTCTGTAGTCACCTAGGCAAATTGGTGAGGCTTTTTACCAAACCTTGTCCAGGAAGTGGGGTGCAAGGTTTTGGGAAGTATTTTGGGGGGAAGGACGCGTCCAAACAGCTCTTCCCCAGTAACCAGTATTAGTTTGGTGGTGGTAGCGGCCAGTCCAAGGACAACGGGTGTAATATTTTGTACCTTGGGGAAGTTTTGACCTAAGCTGGTAAAGATAAGCTTAGGAGGTTTTTCATGCAGGTCCCCACATCTGTACCCTAGAGTTCAGAGTGGGGGAGGAACCTTGACAAGCAGCAAAACTCCCCTATCTGGATAGCAAAAATTCCTGAAAAGCAGTTTGGTATTTGGAGAAGCATTCTAAAATCTGGATGGTTAGTCTGACTCTGGAGGCTCCCATAAACCCTGGAAACCATCCCCTACCATCCCAACCTTTCCTTAAACAGGCCCAGGCCCTAGCTAAGTTGATGTAGGGTGATGATATTTTCCCAAAGGGAAAATGGGACACCATATGGGGCCAGCCCAAGGCACCATAGAATATCAGGGTTGGAAGGGACCTCAGGAGAACATCTAGTCCAACCCCCTCAAAGCAGGACCAATCCCCAATTTTTGCCCCAGATCCCTAAATGGCCCCCTCAAGGATTGAACTCACAACCCTGGGTTTAGCAGGCCAATGCTCAAACCATTGAGCTATTCCACCCCCGCCTGCCTTCCTGTGTGGAGCCAGCCCAAGACTCCCTGCCACCCACCTGTGGAGGGCTGGCCCAGCTCGAGCAGCTCTCCCAAGCCCTCTTCCTGCAAAGGGCTGGCATTGCTGCTCGCCCCCACACACATGTTCCTCCATGCCCCGCTAAGGTTTGCACTCAACCTTTTTGGAAAAACTGAGCATGTGTACAGTTTCCTCTTGCTAACTGATCAGTTGACAGGAGCAATGGGACAAATGCCCAGTTTTGCCAAAAAAAAAAAAAAAAGTCGGGACAGCCAGGACAGGGCTTAAAAAAAGAGACTGTCCCGGCCAAAATGGGATATATGGTCACCCTAACCCGATGCCTTTTTGTGAGAGGGAACAAGACTTGTCTGTTATCTTCATATGGAGTGACTGGGGGCAACGAGTAGGAATCTCTAACACCCTCCCAGACCCCATTTTCTCCTGACTGTACACGACGAGGCCCTGGTGCAGGACTAGGTTAGGGGCTCCCTTCCAAAATCTAAAATGTTGCTTATGCCCAGCATCGGGCCCACATCCGACCCCACCACCTCCCACATCTTCAGTTGTCTGCCACAACTCCCCCCAACTCTCCCACTTGCCCCATAGTACACCAACACCTCACACCCTCAACCCCTCATTCACCAGCCCCCAGGACGTTCCAGGCCACTCACCAGTGCCCAACTCAGCACTCCGCTCCCATCCCAGGCTAGGGACACAACTCCTAATCTTGGCTGGCGGCTGCCCTTCAGTTCCTCTCACCCCATTGTCCACCCCACATCACACAGCAGACCAAATCTGAGTGATGAGTGGTGTCACCTGGGTCACAATGCCGCTCAAATCTGGCCTGGGCCCCAGTGGGGTAAGGGCAAAGTTGTTTGAGCGACATTGCCACCCTATGGACCAAGTGACGTGCCAGAGCGCCATTCCATCTGGAAGTCCCCCATAACCTCATAACTCAATGGTTCTGGTGGAACTTCATTACTTGCAACATTGTATCTACATCACTGACTCCTGAGATTCCACTCCTTGTCCTGTCCATGAATTGCTTCCCCACTTCCTCTTCTCCACAGAAGGGGTTCCACCGTTCCAGCCTTTCTTCTCCCTCAGCCAGTGCATGCTCTTCCCCTTCTTCTGAGTGTGAAAAAGCTTGAGCATAGCTGCTGCTGCTGCTATTCCTTCTCGGCAGAAGTCAGCAGGGGGAGCAATCAGAAAAGAGAGGCAGCTGCTGCATTGGAGGAGTGGTATCTAGGGTCTGATCCAAAGTCCAATGAAGTTAATGGAACTGAGCTTTCCATTCAAGCTGGCACTGGGCCGGGCCCCTAGTGGTCAGAGGTAAGAGGAACAAGGGAAAAAACAATCCCAAAGAGCTAGGCAGGTCAGATCCAGGACACTAGGCTAAGTAGCAGAAAATAAGATAAAATCCCAGGACCATCCCACTCATATTGGGGGTGCTAAGACAGGTGTGCCATAACATATCTAGCTGGGGTTTTTAGCAATGTACATTAATTAAATGTCTCATCTTCCCATCTGGAAGCAGTAACCAGCATGTCTCTCCCTCCCCCCCGCCCCAATGTGCTTTCAGAGTGAGAGAACCAGGTTCTTCTATCCCTGGTGGTCCAGGGTGGGTGGCATGGGTGGGAGGTGTGCATGGGGACTTGTGAGGTTCCCCCCGAGTTGTTAATGATTGCAGCTTGTCTATTGACCTTGCAAGCCTGTGCCCCCACACTCTGAAGAGCAAGTTTGGCCTAACTGGGGCAGGGCATGCGGAGCAGTCGGGGAATAGCACACACTGTACTGGCTGCTATGTTTAGCCTGTCTTCCCTCCTGCTACCCAGACCTGAACCTTCTGCCACCACGACCTGTTGGCGGGGAAAAAGGATGAGAAAGAAGGGATGGGGAGGAATTGGTTAGGTTCCAGCATGTCTCTGCGTGAGGGCAGGCCATTCTTCAGCAGGGAAAAGTTCTACAAAGCTCCAGTCTCCATACATCTGCCCGTCTCTCTTTCTCCCCCTCCTTCTCCATGTGGATTACCAGATGTGGCACTTGAAGGCTGGATTCATTGGTGTTGTGCTGGAGCAGTGGAAATGCCTGGCAAAGTCCTGGCTGTTGCTGAGGGGTCCGTGGACACGGAGTGGTGGGGGGCTGTGCGGGTCCCTGTGCAGGAAGGCTCGCAGTCTCTCGGGGCTCTGGTGCCCACACATCCCCTGAAGGGAAACAAAACAATCATGTCAGCATCTAAGAATGATCCCAAAGGCTTACTTGCCCACGAGCCCTCACATAGGTTCTGCAGGGTTCCAGCTTGTCATCCTTCCTGAGCAACATGAGCATGACAGGAGAGACAGAGAGATATGCTGGACAACCGTGCCAGGAGAGAGGATGACACTCAGATCAACACCTGGATACTGCCATTTCCTAGTACATAGTAGAGGGGTAGATTTCCATGTATCCATATCTATCTGTCCTAAACTTGTCACTATTTTATTTCAGTGTGTTGATTTAGTCACAGCCCTGACAAAGCAAAAATTATGCTGGCTGGAAGGGGAAGCACCTATAGGACAGGCAGTGCTGTGAATATGTCATTCTTTGGAGGGGAGTGTCCAGCCTTTATTCAGGTGGTTTGCAGTGTCTGGGTCATACTGGACTCATCATTGTTGCTGGAAGCCCAGTTGATCACTCTGGTTAATCCTGCCTGCATTCACTGACAGCTGGTCCTAGAGCTGCCACATCCCTTCTCTAATGCAGACCTTACCAGAGTGACCCAATCCTTTGTAGCCTCAGGACTGGATCACCTTCTTCTGCACTCTTCTCAGGGCTACCATCAATAAGCACCCTGAAGCTCCAGCTAGTGTCAAATACAATGGCTGATCTCTATGTTCCCTGAACCTCTATGAGAGCATAACACCAGTGATCTATGAAGTGCACTTCACTTGCAGCTCAAGGGTTTGGTTATGTATAAGCCCTAAACTTGCTAAGAGGAAGGTACCTGAAAAATCTCACTCCATCCATCCATCTATGTGCTTGACCCCCATCACTAAAATACTTGATCAGCTCTCTCCCTAAAGCCATCATAGTGGCGGTGCAGGTTCACTCTTGCTGTCTTTTCCTTCCTGCAAACCTAAATTTCTTCTTGTCCACTCTTCCCCGGTAAGTAAATTATCTTTTGACAGGGAAGTTAAATATAATTTGTTTTTTTTATTTCATTATCATCAGTCATCATAACCAAGGGTTCTTAGATATTCCAGTGACTGCTGCCTTAGATAAACCTTAGATGATGGATAGTAGATAGATATTGTTGTGCTTGGTCCCTTTGACAGTCTATCGCTTCAGAGCCCAGTGTAAGGTGTAGGTCTTCAGTGAGGCCTTTGATCAGCATCTAGGGAGCAGTCCAGTGCTGCGAAGTTGGGGGAGAGACTCAGACCAGGAGGGAGGGAGATGGCGATAATCAGACACACAGACCAGAAAGTATGAGAGGAAGATACATTAAAAGAGGCCAGATGGGCTGGGACAGACAAGATCAGCAGGATGTTCTTTACATTGGCAAAGCTGATGTAGAAGAGCTGATGGTGTGAGAGTCCACTCCTGGGTAAATTCCTCTCCTGTTTGTGCTTTTTCAGCCAGTTCTTATAGGCCTGTGGGGAAAGAGGAACAGATAAATTAAAATAAAAAACCTCAGATTGTGTCCCACAAATATCATTAAAGTTTAACGCACAAGGGAGAGCTGAAATCAGGAGCCTTCATCCTCCCAGTGTGAATGCTGGTGCTGCCTGCTGGTGCTGCCCTGGAGCTCTTACGCTGGGACATAGACATCCATCCACCCACTCACTGAGAAAGTGTAGCATCCTTTTCTCTCCCATCCCGTCTCCTTGCTCTCTGAGATGGCTTATCCCTGCCCTCTTCCCTATCAACCTAACTGTTGTGCTTCCCATTCCAGACAATACCACACAGTGGCAGCAGAAGGTCAGAAGATGATGCTGTTTGATGCACTATAATTGAATAAAAACTATTTCAACTTGAGTCACCCATGCTCAAAAAATTCTTGCCATGCTTTTCATATCACTGGTACCTTCTGTCTAAAGATCTGAAGGCATGTGACAGACATTATTTAATTAAACCTCATAACTTCCCCAGCAACAGAAAACTGAAGAGGAACTTCCTTCTACAGAGTACTTTCACCTCCATAGATATGGGTATTGATTCATCAAGGACCAAGACAAATGAATTGAAGGACATCAGTTTAGTTCCCAGGGGCCTATATCAGCTTGAAATAATAGTCACCTATTTTCATTCAAAGAACCGTCTTGGAATAAAAAAGACCAGGGACTGGAATAGCAGGGGGTCTGCAGTACAGGTCTGAGGTTCACTGGCAGAGCTGTGTGGGAAACCCAGGGCTGGAATAGCAGGGGGGCTGCAGGCCAGGACTGAGGGCATTGCCAGAATTGTGAGGGGAGCCCAGCACTGGAATAGCAGGGGGCTGAGGGGCATTGATAGGACTGTGTGGGGAGCCCAGCACTGGAATAGCAGGGGGCTGAGGGGCAGGACTGAGGGGCATTGGTAGAGCTGTGGGGGAAGGAGGGATGGGGTGGAGGACTGGATCAGCAAGGAGTGCAGTTAATTTGGATTGAGGTGCATTTGTGGAGTTACATAGGGACAGGAAGTTGGGCAGCCCAGGACCAGAATAGCAGGGCAGGTGGTTGCAGGGCAGGATTGAGGGGCACAGGCAGAGTTGTGTGAAACTACAAGACTAGAACAGCAGGTAGTTTGTGATACCTGGTATGCGATGGCGAGTCCTCCTGTGTCAGCTGCATTCTCCAGCAGGGTGAAAGTGCCATTGATTCTCAGGCCCTGCAGAGAGTAGCGTTCATACTGTTCCACCAGGCAGTCTGTACCCCGCACTAATGCATCCCTGTTGCATCTAGGACAGCTCTCAGGCACCACTGTGGAGAAGAGGGAAATCCAAGAAGGTAAATGCAATATCAGTATCCACTGGGATTCAGTCACTTCTCCCATCAGTAATGAGCATGGTCTGGGATTGAGTCTTTTGAATTTACCAAACCCACCTTTGCACTATACATTTAAATAGGGAGCAGGTCCTGGAGGAACTCCCCTGAGCTCTCCAGAGGGAACACACCCCTGAGGCCTGTGACAGTGAGCAGAGGGAACAGATTCTATTATAAATTACCAGCAATGGTTCGGGTCACTGGAACTATTTTTAAAGTCAGGGTGCTGAAAGTGGAAACCATGTATTTAGTTATTATTACTACTTCAAACCAGGGGATGTTGCTGCACCCTGAATGGGTCACAATACGCACCGTAATCATAGACGGCATGAAGTAGCTCGTGTGCCATGATGACTCCCATGGCTCCAAAGTTCACAGCACTGAAAAACACAGAACGTAAAGAGGTATCAGCTGCTAAACCTGCAGGAGGCAGGGGAAGCACGGGTTTCTCTGTACAGCCCTGCTCCATCAAGTATGAGTCTACTCTGCCAAATGATGATGTAAAACCAGTATCAGGGGCTACACGCTTATCGTCTCTGTTATTCCATATCAACATGTTCAGTAAATGTATAATGTAAAGACAGTGGGATTGTACAAGTGAACAATTGCAACGGGATGTTTGTTAACAAGTCTGCTAAAGACGTGCAAGATAGTAATCTAATCAGGGGTTTCACTAGAAATAGTTGTGGTACTTCCACAAACTCCACCCACAAACCAAGCTCCACCCATTTGAAACACCAGAATGAGTCCACTCACAATCAAATTTCCACAGTATGATCATCCCTCTCCTTTCTTACATGTCTTGATCAATAATGAAAAAGCAAAGAACATTGACATGTATGTAGTGATCATTACTAGATTTCAGAATCAATAGGTCACTGAAGTGAATAGGAGCAGCTCGCATCTCTCTAACAGCTGCTGCTTTAAGAGTTCTGCAGACTCAGTAGACATCACTGCACTGGTTACACTCAGTTCACATTTTAAAGGTTATCTGCAACTACAGCTGGATGTATAACTGATTTTTCAGTTTACTGGTCATTCTGAAAAATCAAAACTAACTTTTATTTCAGGATTGACGAGAATTTAATTTTTTTTCCGCAAACTGCTGAAAAAAAATTTGCTGAATGAAACATTCAGTTCCACCTGAAAAGAAATTTCATTTTCAGTTTTTAAAAAAGTTTCTTTAATAAAATTGAAGTAAATTTCAAAATGAAAAGTCATTTAGTATTGAAAAATCATAACATTGCATTTAAAAAATGTCAAAACAAAATGTTTTGATTTTTTTGTTTTTATTTCAACTGAAACAACTTGGAGAATTCAAAATGAATTCGTGAAATGTTTTTGTCAACCTCAAACTGCATTTTTGGAAAAAAAACAAACCAACCCTGGATGTCTGACTCCTGAATCTAATGCTCTCTCTCTCTTAATGGTTGGCTCTGCTGGGCTAACAGTCGTAACAAACGCACTTCCGTCACAGTCAATTTAATCGGTAGATCAGACTGATACAGGGGGCAGATCTGCTGATTCCGAAGTGACTCACTCATTAAGTGGAAGCACATAGCATTAGAAAAGTATATTTGTTTTGCTATTATTCATTTCAGCTGTGTCCCATTCTTAATCCTGTTATGAGTTTTATGAGTCATCAAGGGCACATGGATGTTCTACAGATAGGGGGTGTAAGTTTCACTATAGACTGAAAAGAATTATTATATTGATCAGACCACCTGTTTCATTCCTTCCCATAGTGAGAGCCTATTTTTGTACAATAGGAATTTAATGAGTCTGGGATTATTCTCTCTGTGCAAACCTTTCTCCAGGGGGACAAAAAATTACATCAAACAATGTTTGATGTGTCTCAAATGACCACTCAATGACAACAACTGGTTGCTCAACAGAGGTGCTCTCATTATAATAGAGGAACAGAATTGTACTATTGGATGGTTCACAGGAAGGCACACAAACCTCATAATGCAAAAATAAATAAATGGTTGCTTAGTAGAGGTGGTCTTTTTATAAAGGGGAAGCAGAGTTGTCTTTGATCCATTTGAAGACATTTTGGACAGGAGATTGCCGAAAGGTTTCACAGGATTTATTCTTGGAATCTAGAAAATAACATATCCCCATCTTTGAGTGACTCAATATTGAGGTGGGCTCAGGAACTGTCTTCTTTGTAGCCTGTCTTGATAAGCCTCATGTCTTTTTTCCTTCTGCTCTAATATATTCTGCGTGCCTGTGAGGGCCAGGAAAACTGCCCGCCTGAGTCTCAGGGTAAGAGTCTGAGGTTACTCAGCGTCAGCGGCTTATCTCAGCCCCACATGGAAATCACTTAGGCTTTGATTTTGCTCTCACTGAAGCCAGTGGCCAAATTCCCACTGAGGTCAGTCAGAGCAGGACCCTCCCTCCTGCTTTTTGGCTTTTTGCAGTGAAAAAGTATGCTGGAAACCCAGCGTGCTGAAGGGGTGAGATTTATGTTGGTGGCTTTGCAGCCTCTTAGTACCTGGGGAACTCAGCGTGGAAGAAGGGGCTGCGGAACATTCCCGCAGGGAAGACCACGGTGTGGCGCCTCATTGAGTAGTAGGAATGGACAGACCAAGGGAAGACCTCCCAACTAGAAACAGAAAAAGAAAGGAGAGAGAACACCCACTATTAATGGCTTGGGACCTTCTCCTGATCTCTCTCCCTACTGGACCTTTGTGGGAATGGTGGTGACATAGAGAAAGGACTCCCCAGTGCAATCCCATACAGAGAGGAGGCAGAGTTATAGGTTCACATTATTCAGAACCTCATGTGTTCAATACAAACACTGTATCTGCCTTTATTTATTTATTAGGCACTTATTACCATTGAAAACATTCATGGATGTACCCTCCCCACACCACTGTCAGGTAGGCCAGTGCTAGTAGCCTCATTTTACAGAGTGGTGAAGAGACTTGCTCAGGGTCATGCAGGCGGCATGTGGTAGAACAGGGAAATGAACCCAACTTGTCTGACTTTCTGCTCAGTTCATTAACCACAAGAGCAACTTTCCTCCCCACTGTCTTGGCCCATTCCTATACCATATCTCAAATCCTCTTTTCAGAGTAGCAGCCGTGTTAGTCTATATTCGCAAAAAGAAAAGGAGTACTTATCCTCTTGTTTTTGTTGTATCGTCTTCTGTATCTGATCAGCTGCTCCTATACCTCCTCTCCAATGCCTATATACCTCCTATAACCTGCCCCCTACCACACATCATCCCCACCACCTTTGGCTGAAACATACTTATCCTGCAGGTGGGGCTGAAGGAGCCTCAGGGAGAAATTTTCCCTCACAGCCTTCAGGCAGGCCACCACATTGAGCAAAAAGGTATTGTCATGTATCTCCAGCTGAGGAAAGAGAGAGGCAATGAGAGCGTATTTAAAAGGACACAGAAGAGAGAGTAAGAGAGAGATGAGAATCAGAGAGAGGATGGCGCAAAAGAGACAACACCAAACAGGGCAGAAAATGGGGTTAATCAAAAATCAAATATTCTCTCTTTTCTCTCCCAACCCTCAAAATCTCCAACCTAAGATGTGGAAAAGGACTGCAGGAGATATTATCATAAGCAAAGCAGAGCACGCCTTCTTTGGGGGATGAACTGTGCCACCCCCAACTTCTCCTTCCGCAACAGGAGACAGAGTAGGCAAAGACGCAAGAGCACTGGCTGGATCTCCCAGCTTCTCCAGACCCAACCTCTTTCAAAACAAGACATTGGAGGGAAAGGAGAAGGTATGCTAGTTGTATGGAGTATGCTCTGCTCCCTTCCCCTCCAGCAGAAGGTGCCCTTGGGTATGGAACAGGTATATTACCAGTAACAAGACAGGTATGTTTGCATTGTGTAACTCACATCCTGGAATTCCTGGTCCATTTCAGCAGTTTGGAGGATGCTGTCTGGATAGCCAATTTCCACCTGAAGCTTAGAAACCTTAAATCGTTAAAATAAAATTAAATTAAATAATTTACATAACCAAGAGGATTCCTTACATTTTGAATGTCCGTATAATGTGTTTCAGGGCAGGGTAAGTAGGACTTATAAATTAGCTCTGTAAAAATAAGAGCTGTCCTATTTGATTTCTCCAGGGAACACATCTCCCCTTGCTCTTCTCCTTTCCCAAGTCAGTGCCCTAAGGCCAAATGCAGCCCTGATATAAAGAGCAGCTGCTCTCATGAAGCCCATGGAATTGTTTTTTATCTCCCTCCATGTGTAAGCTTGTTGGTGCTCATATATGTTGGCACGTATGCAGCTGTGGGTCCGCATGGATAAACACTGAGCTTCTCCATATATACATGTCAGTGTATGACCATGTGCATATGATGGTATATGTGTATCCACCTAAAAGTGTTGAGCAGGTATGTATAAAATTGTCCATGTAGGATCATGTACATGAGCATGCATGTCAAAGTATGTGCAGGTGCAGACACCCATCCATTCTCCAGGGGCTTCTGGGACATAAAGACCCCAGTGACCTGTGTCTTCCACACATGCCTTGTCCTTGGCCTCTTGTCGGGTCTGCTCATCCATCCACTCCACCTGATCCAGCCGACTTTGGAGGGCATCTCGGACCAGAGAGAACATCTTCTCAGCCTGCCAAGGGGAAAGAGAGATACACTCAGGGCTACAGAAAAGCAGCTGCTCCTTAGAAAATGCCATATCTGGGTCTGAGAGGAGAGGGGAGCAACTGGGGCCCATGTTTATTCAGTCCTGGGCTACTCTCTCTCCATGCTCCACAAATTGAGCTACAGCCCAGCCCTGGTAAGGATCCCTCTTTCCAGGAAGTGAGAAAGAAATTCATTCTTTACATCGGTTTCAAAGTAACAGCCGTGTTAGTCTGTATTCGCAAAAAGAAAAGGAGTACTTGTGGCACCTTAGAGACTAACCAATTTATTTGAGCATGAGCTTTCGTGAGCTACAGCTCACTTCATCGGATGCATACCGTGGAAACTACAGAAGACATTATATCCTTTCAGCCATGGGCTTGTCCCTATACACTGCTCCCTTAACCCTGCCCTGTTCTTCTCATCTCATCCCCCTTGCCTCTGCTTAGGTGAGAGGAAAACACAATCCCTTGTTCATTCAGTTCTAGACTTCTCCTCTCCTAACATGGGATGGGATCTATTCTAGACTACTTTCCCTTTGCTTGAATTAAAGGAAAATTCAGAATGCATTTAGTTCCAACTCCCTCTATTACACAATCTGACCCTCCTCTTTGCTGGTGGTATCTGAGGGGGATTCAATCAGTCCGTTCAGGGCTTCGCTACAAGCATGTACACACACACATACACTTCTCCCACAGTGGAACCTATATTCTGCCCTGGAGGAAGCCCAGCAAATTCACTTCACTGCTGCCCTTACAAGGTGCTGAGTGCTGTAGTTTGACATGCTCTCCTGTGTCCTTCTTCCCTCTTTCTCTTCTCTGCTTCTTCATTGCTCTTTCCTCTTAAGGTCTCAGTCTCTCATTGTCCCATGTCCCTGGGTTATTTTTTCAATGGCATTTTCCATACATTGCAAACCCTTTATAAATTCAGTGCTTGTGCCAATAACTTTGGTGTAGTGGGGTGGCCACCTGCTACTGCCCTGAAGGGCTTGAAATCATCCCTGGGAGAAGGCTGAGGTGGCCGAGAGGTCTGCTGCTAGGAAAAGCAGCAAGCCTCGGCTGATTGGGGAACCAGCCACAGACACAGCCATGCCCCAATCAGGGCCGAGCTGGCCCTTATAAGAAGGCAGTGGGCCAGGAGCAAACACTCACTCTCTCTCTCGATGTGGAGAGGGATGGGCTTGGCTGCTAGGAGCTAAGCAGTGTACCAGGGCTGGGGGAAGGCCAAAGGAGCTGGGGAGCTTTGGCCTGGAAACCCCCCAGGCTGCAGGCCTTGTTAAAGGCTAAAGAAAGGTACTGGGGTTGCAGAGGGCAGCCCAAGGGTAGGCAGAGGCAGCAGGTCCAAACCCCCCTTGCTGATGATGAGTGGCACTTACACTGCAGTCTGCCCCAGGGAATGGGGGCTAGTTGATGACTGGCAGTGGCCATAGACTGAGGTGAGGTGGGGATAGAGGATGGGGGTTCCTTGGGGAGGGGAGACCCAGATCTGTGGGGATACTGCCAGGGGGCAGTACCCTGGCCTGAAAGGGGCACCAGGGTTGAGGAGGGACTTCGGCCCAGTGGCAAGCGGGACACCAGCCTGCAGAAGGTGCTCTGGAGGCTGGAAATGCTAATTCCCTGGATGACCAGCAGGAGGTGCTGCAGGGGTGAGTCCCGCCCCATTACACTTGGAAATGGAAATGGAAATCTGATCCCTTAGCAAAAAGGTTCCCCTTCCCCAGGGTATGCAGACTTGTTTGTTATTACTGAACCATTCAGAAGCCCTGGCATTTTGGTTTGTTAATATAGGATTGCTCACAAGCACTGGGTAATCTATGCTAGTTTGTTATCATGAGATGGCTGGAACTGCACTTACTGTTCTAGGGTTGTTCATAAATGATGTTCATACTGGTTGTCATTGTATTGTTACTCATGAACATTAGAAATGTATGCACTGGTTTGTTATTGTAGGATCACATGAAAGTACTGACAGGTTTCAGAGTAGCAGCCGGGTTAGTCTGTATCCGCAAAAAGAACAGGCGTACTTGTGGCACCTTAGAGACTAACACATTTATTTGAGCATGAGCTTTCATGAGCTACATGCACTAGTTTGTTATTGTAGGGATACTCATGAACATTAGAGCTGAACTGGTTTGTTACTGTAGGTTGTGTATGAGTTCTGGGGCTGCATGCACTGGCCTGTTATTGTAGGGTCCTGTATGAGTGCTGGGGCTGCACACAGTGGTTTGTTAGTGTAGGATCACACATGAGTACTGGGGGCCCCACTCTCTGCTTTGTTACTGAAGGGATGAGAATAAGGACGGAGGTCCTAGTACTCACTATTTTAGCAATAAGTATATTGATCCCATAACCTACCTCACTCCCAAAGAATGATGGGACATTTGTAAGGAAGTGACAAGACCCTGACAGTGTATCAGCTAAGAATGGAAAGAGGAGAAGCAAATGAAGCTGAGTTTGTGTTTGGGTGGGGGAAGAAGAATACCTACGAGTTCCTTTGTCTCTTGAGGGAAAATCTCTTGCACAATCATCTCCGCAAGGACAGGCTCAAAGAAAGTGCTGGTGTCCCTCAGGCATTTCCTCCAGCGATGGGCCAGTACCTGGGGGGCAGGGAGAGACAGAGAGAGAGGAGGAAGGCAGAACAACACATAGAAAGAGAGGGACAGAGAAATGTGTACATGTGTAGTAATGATCATAGCAAATCAAGAATTTAATTTATTTTAATTAGATTTTTATCAACCCTAAAAGGCTTTGAGCACTTCAGAAAACATGACCATAAAACTCAAGGCTGGTTCACCCTCTTCACTTCCACAAGTGGAGGGGACTCATATCCTGGCTGGAAGGGACAGAAAAGGGAAACCTGCCCATCTATATGTTGTTCTCCAACCCCTGTCCTTGTGGAAGCCTCTTAATGTGGATTGGACTCCATGGGTGCGGTAGGTACAGGGCTGGCTTCCTTGATGGCATCATCACTAGGGGAAAGTGCTGGGAAATAGGAAGTAATGCTGCTATCACGGTCAGCATGTCCTTCCACTCTGTCCCTCCAACATGAGAAACTCTACTTCATTTAGGTTGGATATTAGGAAAAACTTTTTCACTGGGAGGATGGTGAAACACTGGAATGCGTTACCTAGGGAGGTGATGGAATCTCCTTCCTTAGAGGTTTTTAAGGTCAGACTTGACAAAGCCCTTGCTGGGGTGATTTAGTTGGGGATTGGTCCTGCTTTGAGCCGGGGGTTGGACCAGATGACCTCCTGAGGTCCCTTCCAACCCTAATATTCTATGATTCTATGACTAGAGATCGGGGGCAGCAGCCAGTGGGGGTGGCCATGGGAGCAGAACATCTATAGAGCTCCCTTGGGGGTTGGGGGAACTGAAGGGAAGCTGACTCACCATCCCAGATTCCCCTGTCTTTCCATGCAGCTTTTCAAACAGCTCCCTGCGTGCATCTTGGAACCGGCTGTCAAGGGCTGGGGAGAGATTTCCAACCAGGCAGAGGATCATATAGATCTGTAGGACCCTGGGGGAAAAGACACAAAGCAGCACATTTATAGGGATTAATATATAAGGAACTCTTCAGTCAGCACCAAATGCACTCATATCTTGGGTAAACTGTGGCAGCTGTTTAACTGCAAATAGCAATACCATTTAACAGTGAAGACAAGGAATGATTAACAATACCTCTGCCTGGAACTGCAGGAAGAATTTAGTTTGGCAGAATATAATTGCCTGAGCTGGAACTGGGCCAGGAAACAGGTCAAAGTTTGCAGAAAGTGCCATAGGATCTTTAATGACTACAAGTGGGAACAGCCCCTGCTGGGTCATCCTCCTGCAGTGCCTTAGTGTTTCCTTGGCCATCTCCCATCTGAACACTGACTAAGTCCGTTCATGGTTAGTTTAACACCTGAAGCTATCACCACCTCCTCAAGGCACAATGGCTACGGTATCAGACATCAGCTCCTACCTCCCCTTCTGCCATTTTTCAATCAGCCGTGACATGCCTTTCAAATAATCCATGTCGTGCACTGCGATTGGCTGGGAGATGTTCAGCTGCACAGGATGGAAGGCTGCCTGGAGGCATGACAGCCAATCGATTGTGGGTGCCTTTTCCTAAAGGTAAAGCCAAACAGAAATGCTGAAATGTGACTTCCCTGCCTATCCCCAGGACTGAATGGGGAAAATAGGAATGTGTGTCTGCCCCCTTGTGGTACCAATCTCACCAGAGTGAGATTCAGGGGCGGTGACAGTGCAGGGAGAGGAGTTACCAGGACTGAAAGGGTGAAGAATGGAAGTCTCACCCTGGAACCAGCAAAGAACAACCTCAGCAGATTGGGGATGCACTGATAGCTCAAACAACGAAGAGTCCTTGTGGCACCTTAAAGACTAACAAATTTATTTGGGCATAAGCTTTTGTGGGTTAGAACCCACTTCATCAGATGCATGGAGTGAGAAATACAGTAGGCAGGTATAAAGATACAGCACATGAAAAGATGGATCTTTATACCTGCCTACTGTATTTCTCACTCCATGCATTTGGTGAAGTGAGTTCTAGCCCACAAAAGCTTATGCCCAAATAAATTTGTTAGTCTCTAAGGTGCCACAAGGACTCCTCATTGTTTTTACTGATTCAGAGTGGTAGCCGTGTTAGTCTGTAATTGACAGTTCAGTGACAGAGGAGACTCTAGGAGGCAGGAGAGTGGCAATTTTTGCCAGGCTCCTTCAAGGGGTGCCACACATCCTCTCTCACCTGGAAGTTCAAGACACACACCTGCAGCTCCCTGATAGTGGTGTGATAGAAGAGCATCCTTCTCTCCTGCCGTTCCTGCAGTGGGGTGACCTCCTTCTGGAGGTTGGAGATGAAGGACAAGGCGAAGGAGATGACGGTGGAGGTAACATTCTGTGGCCCTCCCAACAATGTCCCCAGCTTCATCAGGTATGAGAAATACACACGGACAACCTGTGATTTAAAACACTTCACCAGTAGAAGAGCTATGAATTGGGATCTGAGCCATCCCACCCAACCCTCAATCTTTCAGGGGTTGCTCCCCACCATCTCATCACCACAAACCACCCCTTTCATCCCAATGTTCCTGTGTATCTGCCTGGAGCAAGGTTTGCTGAGTAGGGCTGTTGGACCTGTGAACAAAACTGAATTATCAGTGAGAAATAATAGGTTATAGTTCCCTTACACTTTATAAATGGTTTGAATATAGGGATCATTTTAGCACTGAAATGCAGCTACTTTTGGGTGAGAGGAGGCAGCTGTTTAATTGCATGAAGCAGAAGTGAACAACAGTGAACAGTGTGGTACTGTTTTCTTTGGTGCCAGCTCAGGACGGGGCTGTAGCTAATTCATCCATATGCTAATAGAAATCAAAGGAGTGTCATAGAATATCAGGGTTAGAAGGGACCTCAGGAGGTCATCTAGTCCAACCTCCTGCTCAAAGCAGGACCAATCCCCAACTTTTGCCCCAGATCCCTAAATGGCCCCCTCAAGGATTGAACTCACAACCCTGGGTTTAGCAGGCTAATGCTCAAACCACCGAGCTATCCTTCCTCTCAAAAGGTATTGGAGTGTAATCAGGCCAATTCATTTGTGAACACACAAAAGAACTGTTAATGGTATTGTCTTTGCTTATCTATAACCTGTTGATTGCTATCACATTACATTATGTATATCCCTGTAACTAGATAACCCTAGATCAAAGGTGTTTGTGTTAAAATGAGGGTGTACTTGATGTGTAAACTTCATGAAAACTAATGAAGGATTGTTTGCTATTACATTACCTCTTACATTGTATATATCCCTGTAACTAAATTACCCATTAAAAGTGATTGGAGCCTTGGAAATCTAAATGAAGAAGGACAGGTTTCAGAGTAACAGCCGTGTTAGTCTGTATTCGCAAAAAGAAAAGGAGTACTTGTGGCACCTTAGAGACTAACCAATTTATTTGAGCATGAGCTTTCGTGAGCTACAGGTGAGCTGTAGCTCACGAAAGCTCATGCTCAAATAAATTGGTTAGTCTCTAAGGTGCCACAAGTACTCCTTTTCTTTAAATGAAGAAGAGTGCTAACTTCAAAGCAAGGGCCATTGTATTTGACAATGGAAATTTACTGGCCCATGTGGTTGAAGACCCTCTTCAGATTGTCTTCTGTGAGCAGAAACTATAAATACTGATTCAAAGGAATAATCGTCACCTCTGACTGTTCATGTTTGGTATCTTCCCTGTAAAAGTCCAATGTGGAGATCCCCAGAAACATCTGTGTTCCCTGAAAAGACTTTTGGGCAACTAGAAGTTAATTATATCAGCTGCTATCATTTTGGACTTACAAACTTTGACTCACCTATTAATGTATTTTGCCTGCTTTAACCTCTCATTAATTCTCATTTCTTTTCTTATCTAATAAATCTTTAGTTAGTTTACTAGAGAATTGGCTGCCAGCATTGTCTTTGATGTGAGATCCAGAGTTGATCTGGGGTAAGTGACTGATCCTTTGGGATTGGGAGTAACCTAATGTGATGTGATTATTGGATTATACAACCTTTTATCATAAAGTCCAGTTTGTCTGGGTGGCAAGATAGGCTGGAGAGGCTATGACTCCATGGTAAGGCTGATATAGCGATCCAGGAGTGCACATTTGTTACTGGCTTGGTGAAATCTAATTATAGAATACACCACCAGTTTGGGGTGTCTGCCCTGTTTTCTGACAGTCTGCCCTGAGACTGGCACTCACAGTTGTTAGCCACTCCAGACAGTGAGTCAAACAGAATGGAAATTTTGGACAGAGATAGCAGACCAGTCTCCTGTTTCTACTTGGATTATCAGGGGATCTTAAATATCCACAGTGGGAAGACAGAACTTTGGTATTTAAGATCTCTGAAAGACCCACACTCAGTAAATTGCAGGCAATTCAGCTGATCCAGTTCAGGAAGATGAAGAAGATGAAATGACTAAACGGAATTGGATTTTCTGGACAGAATTCAAAGGTGATTGATTCCAAGGGCTCTCATCCACGCTAGGATGAAATGCGTTACATTTTAGCTAACAGATTATAAAGTCCTAGTATAATCAGGACAAGTTTTTTGTAAGCCATGTTCCCCTTGACAAGCTAACACATTAAAAAACTTCAACATGCCCTTCCTACACCACGACTTAAAAACCTGTTAGCTAAAAATGTTCCAAAACACCCCCATCCTGTCCTAGTGTTGACAAGCCCTAGAATAGCCCCATGATCTCATCCGACACTGAGCCCATGTGATCACCACTCACAAACCATTCCAAATCAGGGGACATTTCAAAGTAGATCCCTTAACCCAGTAGGCATTTTTTTGCCTTGCCCAGCCTCTGACATGGTACCTCGGGATAATTTGCTTTTTCATTGTAGTCACTCTCTGGTGGCATCTCAAACTCCGGATGGTCAATCTGAGGAACGAAATGAAGGAAAAACACTTAGTTAATACCAGAAACACTAGAGATAATGTATTCAATGACTTTTGTTTCTTTATCTGTTCAAGAAATTTGTCTGCAAGCAGCTTACGATTGTCATAAACTGATTTTATTGAGACAAATATTTGCACTGTAAAAATGATAAATAAAAGAAATAGTATTTTTAAGTTCAGCTTATACAAGTACTGTAGTGCAATCTCTTTATCGTGAAAGCGCATCTGACAAATGTAATTTTTTTGTTACATAACTGCAATCAAAAACAAAACAATGTAAAACTTTAGAGCCTAAAAATCTATTCAGTACTACTTGTTCAGCCAATCGCTAAGAGAAATAAGTTTGTTTACATTTACAGGAGATAATGCTGCCCGCTTCCTATTTACAATGTCACCTAAAAGTGGGAACAGATGTTTGCATGGCACTCTTGTAGCCGGCATTCCATGGTAGTTACATGCCAGATATGCTAAACATTTGTATGCCCCTTCATGCTTTGGCCACCTTTCCAAACAACATGCTTCCATGCTGATGATGCTCATTAAAAAAATAATGTGTTAATTAAATTTGTGACTGAACTGCTTGTGGGAGAATTGTACGTCTCCTGCTCTGTGTTTTTTTTTACCAGCATTCTGTCATATAGTTTATGTTAGAGCAGTTTCGGATGATGACCCAGCATGTTTTTCGTTTTTAAGAACATTTTCACTGCAGATTTGACAAAATGCAAAGAAGGTACCAATGTGAGATTTCTAAAGATGGCTACAGCACTCGACCCAAGGTTTAAGAATCTGAAGTGCCTTCCAAAAATCGGAGAGGGATTAAGTGTGGAGCATGCTTTCAAAAGTCTTAAGAGCAACACTTCGATGCAAAAACGACAGAACCCAAACCACCAAAAAAGAAAATCAACCTTCTGCTGGTAGCATCTGACTCAGCTGATGAAAACGAACATCCGTTAGTCTGCACTGCGTTGGATTGTTATTGAGCAGAACTCATCAGCATGGACGCATGTCTTCTGGAATAGTGTGGTTGAAGCTAAAGTATGAAGGGACATATGAATCTTTAGCACATCTGGCACATAAATATCTTGCAACACTGGCTACATTAGTGCCCTTCAAACCTCTGCTCTCACTTTCAGGTGACATTGTAAACAAGAATTATCTCCTGCAAATGTAAACAAACTTGTTTGTCTGAGTGATTGGCTGAAGAAGAAGTAGAACTAAGTGGGCTTGTAGGCTCTAAAGTTTTACATTGTTGTTTTTTATTTTTGAATGCAGTTATTTTTGTACATCAAATTCTACATTTGTAAGTTTAACTTTCATGATAGAGATTGCACTACAGTACTTGTATTAAGTGAATTGAAACATACTGTTTTTACAGTGAAATTAATTGTGCAATTAATGCAATTAATCATGACTTTTTTTATCACTTGACAGCCCTAATTATTATTACATATAATAAATAAAAATTCATAACTTGTTTATATAAGTGATGCCAAGAGACCCATCTGAGACCAGGGCCCCATTGTGCTATGCACATAACAAGAGCCAGTCCCTTCTAAGACAGCTTACTATATAACTAGACAAGAGCAGATAAAGGGTGGGAGAAAGGGAAATAACTTTATCTGCATGTGCTCACCCTAACCCACTCCCCCTATGCTCAATTTCCAGAAATGAATGATAAAGGTTGTTGTTTTTAAAAAAGTAATTACAAAATTAAGAAATTAGTGGAAAATGTAAGAAAATGAACTGGTACAAAATAGTATCTGATCTCTAGTCTCTGACAGACAAAGGCTTTAAAATATCCACAGCATACCTTATTATGTAATATTATACAACTGGAGCAAGGAGGACTCCTTGGCCTCCCAGCTCATGAGGATTGATGACCAAAACAATTTGTCCCTTACATAGTGTTACTGCTGGTGTTGGTTCAGTTCATGAAAGTGCCTAATCCTCTTCTAGTCTCAATGATCTAGTAGCATCAATGATATCCTGCAGCAGTGAGTTCCACGGCTTAATTACACTCTGCATGGCAAAACAGTTCTTCTTGTTTGTTTTAATTGCATAGATTTGCAGAGATCTTTTTATGGAGCTAATGTGTTTATAATACTCATAAGATATGTCCAGTTTCCACTCGCAGTAGCTTAAGCAGTTGTTTGATCCTAAAGGCCAATAGGTACTGCTCTGACTCTGTCCTTTCCGACTGCCATCTCCTGCTGATCCTCTCACCTGGATAATATTGGTGCTGGGGTCAGAAGAGCTGGGTCCCACATATACTCTGAAGAAGGGGAAAGTGTTGTATTTGCCCATGAGTGTTTTCAGGGTCTGGTTAAAATCGGTTTGTTTCCCGGGGCCTGTGAAGTTCCAGCCACCAACCTGAGGAAAGAGTGACAAACAGAGAACTTACTGATCACCATTGGTGGAAAGAGAAGCAAGAACAGCTGTTGGATACTGATTTCCAAATTCCACCCCATGGAACATGATGAATATGACAGCCAAAGTTCAGGATCAGTATAAATAATGAAGAAGAATGGGAAGAACCCATGAAAATCTTCACACTCACTGTGTGACCCTAAAGTGACCCTGTCACTTTATCTTTATGGAATGACATAAAATTGCCATACAGGGCAGGGGAGGGCAAGAGGATGAGAGAAAGCCACATGATGGCCACAGGTGACTTAAGAAGGTAGAGGGGGATGAAAGGAAAGTGTCTACACTTCACTGTGACCCTCAAGCAGGGCAGTTAGGGCTCATTTTTCATACTTGGGGATTTAGGTGCTTAAATCAGATCGTACATTCACTGGGCCCCAAAATTCCATCTGTTTTTTGCAGGGAGTTTCCTATCCTGCAGGCTGGATCTTATTGAATTACACTGAGTTTCTGTTAAGAAAAATATCCCTGCCTTCAGGATGGGAGGAATTCTGAAACTGCAAGGCTGCACTAGCCTGAACGGACATTAAGGTAATAAATACATAGTCAGGGCCTGAAATCAGGCAGCCAAGTATGAGCGTTGGGCCCATCATATCTATTAGGGAAATGCTGTTTGTGCCAAGGAGTCTCGTCAGTTATAAATTAGGCTATGACTCCTCATTTACAAATTATACTCATTCTATGGGCAGAAGCCACCAACTTGCCATCACTGACACCTTAGTCGCCAATGACCTGGTGCTAGCAAGTGCAATAATGAAGGAGCAAATAATGAAGCAGATTACCTTTCCCCCTATTGTTTTCTATCCTTTTCCTGGTAGAACTCTTTTCTGAAGTGTAAGGGTATACGTATGCTCAGAAATAATATAGTGTGAACAATGATCACCTGATTTATGAGCTCCTTCAAGGGCTGAGCCCCTTCTGCTTCTATCTGTTGGGTATCCATACAGGAGTGGTAGAACTGGATGGCTTTTCCCTTGGCCGAGCCTTCAACCCTGAGCTGTGGAACCTCTGAGAAAAGGAAAGCGCACAACGCTAACAAGCCAAAAATTAAAGAGCAAGAAGCAGCATCAGGTGAGGAGGTGGGGCTGGTAAGAGGTAATGTGCATCCTGAATCAGGAACTACAGCTTGTTTGATAATCCATGACAAAATATAGCATACTGGAGCTGCATAGATAAACCCCATGGTCACCAGTGCAGATCAAATCTGGATTTTCCACACTAAAAAGTACAACTCACAATCACCTAAACCAAAGCAGTAGCTTTAGCTGTAAGCAAGGAGGTTTCTGCTATAGTTTCTAGGGGCCAAGAGAGTAATGAGAGACATGATCACATCCGAACTCTAAGAGGCAGAGGGATACAGTCACAAGTCAGCACTGGAGAATCCCAAGAGAGCTTTATGTTCCCATCTAGGATGGTTATAGCTCTGGTGGCAATGACAGGGAGATAACATGGGGGTGGTTGTGTGTCAATGCACAGTTGGTTGTATTGCTGCCTGATTGGCATGGCTACTTCAACAGTGGTGGTGTGAGATGTCAGGAAAATGATTTGGACTTTAAGGGGCTGAAGTGAGAGACCATGTGGTTGTCACTGTGTCTATTGTGACTGAAATTGTTTGATCATTTTCTGGGGAAGGTTGTAGTGATGCATGTTGGTGGTTGTGGTGACGGGGATGGTGTTATTCCCAGCGGTGCGGTCCCATACTGGTGCATGCTGGGGCTCATGCTTGTGGTTGCAGTGACAGAGAGGTGACGGGTTGGGTTTGGTCCCTGTTGGGAATGGCTGCACTGTTGTATGTCCAGTAATCACATCTCTGACTGAAGAGGATGCTGGCAGTACATACACCATCCATCTCCCCTCCCTACCTAAGAGCCTCTTCAGGATCAGCTGGTTTTCTTCCAGCAGGACATCAAACACATTTGATGACTCCATAGTCTCCGTGCGCAAGTGGTTGGCTTCCCAGTTGCCACAGGCATAGCCATAAAAATCCTCACAGGGGTCTATGGTGGCATTTCTCACCTCCAGGAGTCTGGCCAGGAGCATGAGACATTCCTCCGTGTCACAAGGTTCTGGGCAAGAAGCAAAGACAGGAGCCATCATTAGCAGGGTGAAGGAAATTCAGGACAACTGTATGAAAATATAGGAAAGAGGTTATTTTGAAGTTTTATTTGTGGTAAAAATCCTATGCTTTTGGCACAGTGTTGGATTCTTTGAAAAATGATTGCTGAACAGAGGATAAAGTGTTATCCTATGTCTGACTTTGTGGATGGATGACAATAAGTACCAATTAAGGGAAGCCATTAAAATAAAGGCTGTAGGGTCACCCCAGGGAGGAGGTCCCATCTTGGCACAACCCAAGCGGCCACAAAGCTGATTATCAGCGAACTTCTCCTATTTCCATCTTCTTACCACATTCACTGTGTCAGTGGGTGTTTGGCCAAGTAATGACCCCAAGGGAACATGATAACCACTACAAGGTTAGGAAGGGTGTAAACACCAGAGAGGAAGAGAAGGGCATAGCTAGGGGAAAAGAGAGAAACCTGAACAATGATATATCAGGAAGCATTTCCCAAAAGTGAAATCTGTCACACCTTTTCTACAGAGGAAAGTTGTACCAGTCCAACTTATGTTGATTTAAAAACTGATTTAATTAAGCCTGTGTAAACTCCTGGGTAGACACTCTTATTTTGTTTTAAGAGTGGTTTATGTTGGTTTCCAGTTAAGTCAGTTCTTCGCTGAAATAAGCTACTCTTCAGTCAAAATAATAATACATCTTTAGTTAAACCCTTGGATGTTTGTGTCTAGACAAGGCCATAGGCTGCAGCATAATGTCTCAAGGTGAAGGGTGGAAGGGCCTTTGTCTGAGACATAGGACACTGGCCTAAACAAATTCCTGTATAATATACAAGTAGGGCTCAGACCTTCACTGGTTGGTATGATGTACGTGGGAAAAGGTGGGAGATTTGAAATAATGCAGCCTTCTAGGGGTCTATAGTGAGGGTATCCCCAGCCCTCACAAATGGGGAAAGGATAGGAGAGGAGTTAAAAGGAAATGCCAGCTAAGGGGAAAATAAGTAAACTGGGGAACAGGATATGTATGACTTGGCCTCTTCATATTTATAGATCCTTTATAGCAGAGATCTGTCTAGTGGTTAGAAAAGTGGACTGCTTGTGGATCTGGATTCCTGGGCTCTATTTCCAGCTCTGCCACTGACAGGAACTCTCTAATTGTCTTATTAGTACAAGGATTCCATTGGTTGGATCTGTGAAAACTAAGACGGGCCTATGAATTCAGGGATGGAAAGGAGGGGCAATTCCAAGCCCCAGCCCCAAATTCCAGACTTATCCCTATTTCTGCTGGGTCACCTACAGACAGACCAATACTGCTCAGGGATACAGAAGCTGTGGGTAAGAGAGAGGGGATGAGAGTACTGTAATACAATAGCTTTTAGAAGGTGCAGTGCTGCTCTTCATGGAAGCTGGGCCAGGCCACACTAGGTTGGGAAGTGTGGGAGCTTGGGAGTGAGGAGGCCTTCACATGGCAGGGAGGGCTTGGAGAGGGGTAGGGCAATATCTCTTTATTACAATTTATTTACTTCAGACATTTGTTTTCCTAAGATTTAGGAATCATCCAGGGCCTGGACCTAGCATAGATGCTCAGCCCAAAAGGCAATGAAGGGAGAGGAGAGAGGAAGGGGTCTCACTGGTGGGTCGGGTGTGAGGGAAAGGAGAAGGACTGTCATGTCTTGTACCCAGGCCACCGGTCAGGATGGTGTAGGCAAGAAGCAATGCAAACCCAAGGACAGTGCTGAGCATGAGAGCACACAGGAGCAGGCTCTTCCCCCGGAGCCATCTTCCTTTCTTTGAAGCCTCTCTCGGATCCTCCTCACAGGCCTGAAAAGGGGGAGTGAGGAAAAGAGAGGAGATGAAGAGAGAAACATTCCTATTAAAGTCACACCAGGTCACATGCCCTCCTAGCTCCACCTGTTCAACTAGTATTGACACAGGAGGGGTGGTAACCAGAGACATTACTAATTGTACCAGTTCCCCAGTTGCTTCTATCCATGCCTTGCAGAACCCTCAACAGCAGTTTCTGCACCTCTTCCTCACCAACTGCAGCGATCCTTCCCTTTCTTTCCACTTAGCTGACTCCCCAAATCCTCCCCCAAAATCATGGCACTAACATGCTGCCATCCTATTGTTCATTCTGCTTGTGTTTTACCCCCTTGCCCCAACCCTGTGTCTCTCTGGTCTGTTCAGACTGTAAGCTCTTTTGGGCTGGGACCAGCAGCTGCTTTGTGTTTGTATCTAGGCCTTGGGCACTACTGCCATAAACATGATTAATAATAAACAATAATCATAATAAAAGCAGAGAAAAGATAACAGAAAACCCAGGTGGGGGAGGAGGAATGTGGAGATGGTATAGAAACAGAAGGGGGAGGGATAGCTCAGTGGTCTGAGCATTGGCCTGCTCAAACCCAGGGTTGTGAGTTCAATCCTTGAGGGGGCCGTTTAGGGATCTGGGGCAAAAATTGGGGATTGGTCCTACTTCGAGCAGGGGGTTGCATTAGATGACCTCCTGAGGTCCCTTCCAACCCTGATATTCTATGATTCTATAAGGTCATTGGTGCAGGAGACAGAGCTTTCTCAGGGGCTGATCTGAGAGCGTGGAATGGACTCCTCCAGAAACTAAGGATGGTAAATACCTTACAGGATAATCAGATTCAAAACATAGAGAATCCCTCTAGGCAAAACCTTAAGTTACAAAAAGATACAAAAGCAGGAATATACATTCCATTCAGCACAGCTTATTTTGCCAGCCATTAAACAAAAGGAAATCGCATTTCTAGCTAGATTACTTACTAACTAACAGAAGTTCTGAAACTGCATTCCTGATCTGTTCCTGGCAAAAGCATCACACAGACAGACAGACCCTTTGTTCTCTTCCTCCCCCCGAGCTTTGAAAGTATCTTGTCATCTCATTGGTCATTTTGGTCAGGTGCCAGCGAGGTTATCTTAGCTTCTTAACCCTTTACAGGTAAAACGGTTTTGCCTCTGGTCAGGAGGGATTTTATAGCACTGTATACAGAAATACCCTTCCCTTTATTTTTATGACACTCCTACACACTCTTCTCCCCATGTGAGAATATGAGAGAACTAACCAGACATGGCAGACGTTAGTCCCGCTGCTTAATGCAGTGCTGGAAAGTGCTCCTATCTCTGCTGGAAGCTGCTCACACACTATAGTGATGAGCATGATATAAGATCCTATACAGAGCTGAATAGAAGAAGAGCAAAAAGCAGGGTTCTAGCCCCAGATCCACAAAGGTATTGAGGCTTCTAACTTCCATTGATTTCAATGGAATTTAGGAACCTGCCTCAATATTTTTATGGATCTGGGGCCATAATGCTTAGCACACTAGTATTTTACATCCTTGAATCATAGAATCATAGAATATAAGGGTTGGAAGGGACCCCAGAAGGTCATCTAGTCCAACCCCCTGCTCGAAGCAGGACCAATTCCCAGTTAAATCATCCCAGCCAGGGCTTTGTCAAGCCTGACCTTAAAAACCTCTAAGGAAGGAGATTCTACCACCTCCCTAGGTAACGCATTCCAGTGTTTCACCAAGGAAAGGAAAGGCAGCACAATCATTAATGTGGGATTTTCAAAGGCAGACATTCCAGTTAGGTGCCCAGTTCCCATTGGCCTTCAATGGGTGCATAACTGTGCCTTTGAAAATCTGCCCCCAACTAATTAAGGCAGGATTTGGAATAGGAGAAAGGAAATCAAATACACAGGAGCTGGGCCTACACATATAGGGTAGAAAACATAGAAAGTGACCAGACCAAACACAAAAAAAAAAGAAAAATGGTTTTCTTCCACCTCACGGTGACGGTAACACACACTGGGTTTTACTCTAAAAGTGAAGACAGTCTCAGGGAAGGGGTGGAAAGGGAGGGAGAATTTGCATGGCTTAAGAACAGAGAGGAGTGGGTACCCTTTTCTTCTGTGTGCAACTCCTTCACTCCCTCCAAAACTATCCCTTGTGCCCCCTCCTTGCCCCTGCAATATGTTTCTCTGTTTTTCAGGTTGGCAGCCTGATTACAAGGTGTTCAAAATCCTGGAGTACTGTGGTCTTGTGGTCTTTGAAGGGTACTTATATCTCCTCCTCAAATGCTGAAAGTTGTGGTATAAGAAGACAGGAAGCAGCAAGATATGACTTTTCATTCGCTGTGTAATCTATAATTCACAGTAGACCCTACATAAAGTGTATTAATATGTTCCTTATTAAATAATGCCTCTGTTTAAAGAATAGTGATTAAAACAAAGCAAGCAAGCAAGCAAACAAACCGGATATTTACAGTGCTCCCTCCAAACCCACAATTCTGAATAATGCGAAGAAGCTGAGATTTTAGGGTCTGTGCTGTGAAGATCATGACAAGAACAAATGTTCCTAAAACATTTCATATTTCCTAAATAATAGCGTTTGGATTTAGCTTATCTGTATTTTATGTTGGGTTTGAAGGAATGACATTCAACTTTTGAAATAACAATGTCCTGGGTCTGCTCAAAAGGACACTGATCTCCTCCCTTAGTGCTGTGGGAAGAAGATACAGAATGGGGGAATGCCTCCTCTGCCTCTCATGGCTAGATACACATGGCCCAACACAAACTAACTACCCTTGACCTTAGGTCCAAAGGGGATAAAATGGCTCTGGGAAACTGTAGGGGGCAAGGGGTGCCACTGATCTACAGAATTTTTCAAATAGTCTCTGGCTTCAGTCTGGTCTCAGCTCAGGTAGGTCTGGATACTCAAAGGGTTTTGGCAATGGGATATGGAAGCTTTTACATCTTCCAATCTGGCCTGAAGTTGTGGGGTGCAAGACATTTGGATAGCTTACAGGGGACTGAGGAATGGGATATGGAGCCTATCATGTGCAGGTTGCCCCTTCCAGGTAAGAGAGGAGTGAGTGGGTAAACTGGCTGTCTGGTTGGAGGAGACTGAGGAAGAGGATAGAGAGCCTTTCACCTCCAAGCCATCACTAGCTTCAATTCATGAAGGAGTGTGGAGTCTGAATGGTTTACAGGAGACTGAGGAGTGGGTCACATTTCCAGTGCTGCTCCATGTTGTGGGGACTGGATATTCCAGGGTGGGGGGTGGGCATGGGCAAATGGGATATGGACCCTGTCATTTATAGGTTACATATGTTAATAAAGATAGGATTGCCAGGCATCCAGTTTTCGACCAGAACACCTGGTCGAAAAGGGACCCTGGTGGCTCTGGTCAGCACTGCTGACCAGGCCGTTAAAAGTCCATTCGGCAGTGCAGCAGGGCTAAGGTAAGCTCCAATGTCAATAAAAGCAGATCTCCCAAAAGCTCTGCTTACTTCATGAGCTCCTCACAGAATAAATGGCCAAATTCAAATTTTCTGTTTCAGTCTTTAAGGTTAGACACAGAATCAAGCCAAGCCAAGTAATCACCTGGGCAGATACACTTGTGTGTGTGTGTGTGTGTGTGTGACTCCAAAAATAGGGTTTAATTAATTTTTTTTGGTGAATAAATATATAAAAAATATATTATTGTTGATGACTTGTTTGTTTAGAAAAATTTCTAAACACAAATGTTAAAATATCCAAAACTTTTAAACGTTTGAATTTTTTATTTCAAAATAGTTGGAAATTTCCCAGTTTCTCTCAATTTTACTTACTTCCTAACTTCCTTCCCCTGAAAAAGGGGGATAGGAAAGGTAAAGAAGTTAGAGAAATACGTGGAAAAACCCGACTATCTCTATTTAAATGATTCACTACAGGAAATGTATGAAAATGTGTATATATAGTGAGAGAAAATCACTCCCCTCCCCCGCATTTTTACACCCCCTTGCCTTTTTAAAAAATGGGCAGAAGTAAAAACTGATATGGGGGGCGGGGAATCCAGAAATTCAAAACACATTTTTTCAAAAGTAATTTTCTTTTCCCTTTTTTTTTCAAAAATTGAAAACAATGTGAAAAATTTTGAACAAAACAAAACTGTTCAATTTACTTTTGAATTTTTTTGCTGAATCTTTGGCCCATAATTTCAACTAGTGCAGTGCTAGAAAAGATCTTTGTCCATCTCCATAGATGTCTAATAAGGAACTATGAAAATGTTAGTCTGGAGAATTAATCCTGAGAGAGGAGAAGGCAGAGCTTTTTCAGCAGTTGTCTCAAGCGGATAGAATTCACTTCCCATGAAAAATAAGCTCAGAGCTCACAGCTCTTAGCGCAAAGTATAAAACTTGTTTCTTCAGCTGATCTTTCCCCACATCTGCAATAACGGGGATGATAGAGGAGGAGAGGAAATCGCTGAAAAAAAACAACCCAGAGTGTCTAAGGAAGAAGCTTTTGTCTTGTGGTAATGATAATTTTGTAAAGTGCTCAGATACTGAAGTGCTGAATGTGGGAGAAATTCTTGGTGGTTGGAGGGAGAGGAAAGAGAAAGAATCGGCATTTAAAGCAAAGATATATCTAGAGGTGAACAAAGCAAGGAAACAATTTTCTAAGAATATTAGTCTGAAGGGGAAGGTGTACTTTGACTCAGCCATGTTCACAATCCTATTTGCTTCCCATGAAAATTCAGGCACTCAAGTTTTACTAACACCAACTCTTGCCAAATTTGCCATGTCAGCCCAAATGCTTGTATAGTCACTGGAAGCTAATTTCTAACTGATTATTTAAGAGTAAAATACACAATTTGGAATTTACAGTGCGTAGGTTAATTACATAAGTCATCTACTCAGTTTTGCTGCCTTATTTTAGAGTTCGGGATGAACTTTCTTTGTTTGATGGCTGTGTGCTACGAGGTACACACTGGCTCCTTGTGCCAGAAGAATTACAGTCAAAACTCATACACCTGGCACAAGATACACATCAGGGAATTGTCTGAACCAAACAATGACTACAGGATCTGTATTGGTGGCCACAGATGGACTCTCAAACTGAAGCACTCATAAAATCCTGTTTCAGAGTAACAGCCGTGTTAGTCTGTATTCGCAAAAAGAAAAGGAGTACTTGTGGCACCTTAGAGACTAACCAAATAAATACTCCTTTTCTTTTTATAAAATCCTGTGTCACTTGCCAAATGCATGATAAGACAGCAGTGATATGTACCCCTCCATTACAGCCTGTTCCTCTTCCTGAATCTGCATGGGAAAAAGTGGCAATTGACATTGTAGGACCCTTTGATACTGCTCCAACTGACTGCCATTATGCCATGACTTTAATAGACTATTTCAGTAAATGGCCTGAGTAAACAGTAAACATTTGTGTTTACATCGCAAATCTATTCTGATACAGTAATTAAGTTCCTCTCTTCAGTTTTTAGCAGGGAATGTAACCCCAAAGAACTGGTTTCAGATAATGGTAGTCAATTTACTTCCCTGGAGTTTGAAACTTTTCTAGCACAGAGGAACATTTTACACAGAAGGTCATCCCTATATTACCCTCAAGCCAATGGGGAAATCGAACCGTTTAACAGAAGTTTGAAAGAGAGTTTGCAAACGGCTATACTGGAAGGACGATTGTGGATACCCTTCACTACTGATTTCTTGCAAGCATACCAGGCTACAAGATATGCCACAACGCAAAGATCACCCGCAGAGTTACTGCGTGGAAAACAGATGAAAACTAAACTGAACATTGCTGGATTGTTAAAGGCAAGACCTGATGCCCCAAACAAGGACGATGTGAGAAAAACAGCTGAACAGAGCCAAGCAAAGTATAAGGCTTTCACAGACAAGCAGTGAGATGCTAAGGAACCAAAGTTTGAGTGTAGTTCCTTTGTTAGAATACGAAAACCAGGAATTTTATGCAAAGGGGACCATAAATTCACAGCTCCTCTTAAAATCATAGAGAAGAAAGGACCTTACACCGATTGACTTTCTGATGGGTGGGTATGGAATGCTTATTATCTTGCACCTGCCTATGCACCAAGAGGAAATTATGCCAACACCCAGTCTGCAGTGGATGACTTCACCGTAATACCAACACCACAAGACATTACACTGGAACCAGGGCTTGAGAGACGGCCTGTCAGACCCAGACGACCTCCTGTCTGGACTAGAGACGATTTATGTAGTATCTACAGTGTTTTCAGTGTAATATTTTTGCCAACAATATAGTGTCGTGTTTCATATTTGTTCCTGTGGTTAGAACAACATTTATTTTAATTGAGAGAGTTTCTTAAGAAATGTGGTGTTTAGATGTTGTTTGTAATTATTAGAATTGGGAGCATGGGCTGTTGGGAGTCTGAAAGGACAGGAAACAGGAAGGAGGGGGGAGGAGTTGAGAGGCTGGGAGAGAGCTAGAGAGGGTGCAAAAGCAGCTTGGTAAAAAGATTTCCACTTTGAAAATAAAGTCCTCTTGAAGCTTGTTAGTACCTTGTCTGGTTGATACAACAACCATATGATTTATAAACTAAGAGGACATGAACTGAGACTGTTACAGTTAAAGCTAGTAGAATTATTTGTTGCAAATAAATTCTCCAAATAATTTAGCCCTTTTTCTGTTTGTGACAGATTTCTGCCTATGCATTCACTGGGCCTGGTTCTCCCTTGTCATTAACATTTATACTTGTGCAAAATGAGCACAAAGCAGGTGTAAAACACTACTAAAGCAGAATGGTAGCATTTTACATCTAATTTGCACTCAGTTAGTATGGGTGTAAATGATGAAACAAAAGGTGCAAGGCAGTGGTGAATCAGAGCTATTATTTGTAAGTATTCTCTAAATAACTTGAATGAATTATTTTCAGCCATTGGGTTGTTCACAAACTGTTCACTTTGACCATTTGCTATTCAGTGGGCCTGAGGCATGATTTGCCACAGTAATCACATGCAGGGGTGGATGTAGTCTCCCGATTCAATGGGAGGCACAATGCCTCCTCCTCCTTGCCCTGCTGCGGGAGCACTGGCCACAAGCAGCAGCACCCTCCGCCTCAGCACTACAATGCTAATACTGTCCCATGGCAGATGGGAGGTCCCAGGGAGCGGTGGGTGAAGTGGGTGGGTTGGAGAACAAGCCTGCCTCACACTTACCACCCGGGCAGCGGTTTCTGTCCCACGGGGCTCTGTCCGGCTCCCTGCTCCAGGCATTGTGACCTGGCACCCAGGGTCACACTACCACTCAGATTTGGCCCGGCGCCCTCCTCCATCATGACAGAGGACTGGCTGATCCAAACCTGAGTGGTGCTGCAACCTGGTGCAGAGGGTCCCAACACCCCTCCATCATAGTGGAGGGGCAACTGGGCAAAACCTGATATGGGGGGCCCTGTGCAAGTGCACCCAGTGCACATTGGTTAATCTGGGCCTGATTTCCGTGGATGCACTTGCACCAAAGACCTTATCCTCTCAGATTTGGAGCCCCAATCCAGCAAAACACTTTAGCACATCCTTAAATCCATCTCTGTTTAGCAAGGCACTTAAGCACGTGCATAAATCCCTGGAAAATGTGGGATTGAAGCACACATTGAAAGTGAAGCATATACTAAAGTGGTTTGCTGAACAGAGATGGTTTGCTGAACACTGGCCTGGAAGACTGAAAAGTGTGAAGCATAAAAACAGCCAATAAAAAATTGAAATAATGAATGACAACTACTCTTGTTCTCATGAGAATGTGGGTATTTGTATGTAAAACAGCCATTCCCCAAATATACATGCCAACAAAACCCCATTTGTCTGAACAGAAAATAAAAATGGGTATGAACACGAACAAATGGAACAGCAATTTAGAATACAAACAAAGGCTTATGAACTCTGCTTTTTGCTGAATTCAACAGCTTTAATTATAACCTAATAGACATTTTGAAATTAATGTTATGTTGATTAGTTACATAACTCATATGGTATTGTTTCTGTTCCATTTGGATCTTATATATTTAACCAAATTAGCACTGCTTGGCAAATGTACATTTGATTATAAATGTGCAGTTATGTTGATTCCAATTACATAAGACATCTAGTCAGGAAAGAGAAACAAAACCACATGACATATAATTAGCCAATACAATGTGATTTTCAATTTGCAAATATTTTCAACTGAAGAATGAGCTCACACTAAAAAAAAAATGTTGAAAAAAATTGCAAATAATTCTGAATAAAGAGTGTATCTGGAATTCTGCAATTTGTGTGTGGACAAATTGTGGATACTATAAAAAAACCTCATCAGATACATTATTTGTTGCAAATTGTTCATTTAGGTCTCAGTATAACCTCAAAATGGCCACCAGTGGGAACCAGTTTTCTAAAATCTTTAACTGTGGACAGCAACTCCAAGACAAAACTGTCCACTCGGATGACTCTGAATTGTAGCTGGTGGTTCTAGCAGCAGTTACCAACTGGAATCGTGCAAAATGAGCCTCCCCTGCAAATTCACTCACTCTGATACAGAGATATGGAGACAAATGTGGGCAAAGCAGGGGATACAGATAAATATAGAGACAGAAAACTCTGATATCTTGTCTCACCGGCAGCAGGGAGGGGGAGCCAGGAGTTATCTATGTGTAAATTAGGCAAATCCAAAACAAAGTTGAAACTCAAACTTTGTAGATCCCCATGCTGGAACCTGAACCCCTAGTGCTGGGCCCTGTGCAAGTGCTTTTGTACCCCAACTCTCAAGTGCGATTGAGTCCAGCTGTTCAACCCCCCTTAGGGCACAGAGCAGGATAAGAGTGAAAGAGAGACATAGAAAGGAAGGAAAAGAGAGGGAGCACAAGTGTGTTAAATGATATGAATAGGGGACTAGAGCTCTTTCCCTACCTGCTGAGGCGTCCTTATGCCATTCATTGTGGAGACTCTCCTGCTCCCTGTATGGTTACTGCTGCTGCTGCTAGGTTGTTTATGCCCTACTCCTCCCCAAGAGCTGGTAAAGAACACAGTTCAGATCACAGACAGTCTCTCTTTCCCACCTTGGCTGAGTGCTCGGAGGAGGAGGAGATGAGAAAAAGGGCTTTGAAAAACACCCTTAAAGAAAACAGGAGGCCGAGAGAGAGAGATATGGATACATTTCTGCAACTCCCCGCCCACCTTCTCCTGCTGATACCAGTTCCTCCCCCGTCAGTGCATTTTCGCTTTCTCCTTCCCTTTGGGGGAACAAGGTTCCACCACAGCCTATCTGTCTGAGTTACCCTGTGGACCTGCTCCCTCTCCGCCATGCCAGGAACCCATGTTGGTCACAAATATGCAATTTTTCCCCCCTGCCAACTCACCGCTTCTTCTTTCCTACCCCAGCTGCCCTGCTGTTCCCTCCACTCCACATGCCTGCTCTGATATTCTAACTGCCTGTCTGAACCTGCTGTTTTGGGCCCTGAGGCCTCTGCTAACCTCCAAGATAATGACACTTATAATGAGGAGCACATTCTGGTGCTCCTCCACCCACAGAAGGTGCAAAAATCCAGATGTGCTTCTCCTGCTGCTTCTACAAAAGCACCAGTATCTATTTCCAGCAGGAGAAGAAATGGAATTCTGATTCTCTTCCTTCTGCACCCAGTATACATTCCAGGGTGGCAGGTGCACCCTGTGTGCATTCCAGCTTGGTACAAAATAGCAGCAGCCCACTTCCCTGAAAAGACCGTTCCTGGGAGGATTTAAGAGGCGTGGTTCCTCTGCTTAGAGAAACCAGCTGGTGGTCCCTTGAAGGTTTCATGAGTGGAGTGGGAGTCTAGGTTACTTCCCTCAAGACCCCTAAAGCTCAGTGACAGGGAAGGACAGTTACAGAGGGGTGGCTGGGCCCTATTTGGGGGGGTGAGAGTTTACAGAAAGGTTAGACCTGAGCAGAGGTCCAGGGGCAGGGTCCTCCCTCACCACTCCACTCTGACAGACTCCCCAGATGAATGTGCTATTGTCTTCCCACACTGCCTTTGGGATGTACAAATAGGCTTGGATTCCAGTTCAGGCATTCAGAAATTTCCCAGATATTAGCGCCCCCCCCAAAAAAAAGATCTTACAGTGAGGTTATTTGTGTATCCGTGAAGTGCACATGCAGATTCATAGTTTTATAATTATGAGATAAGGATATTGATCCCTTATGAAGCTGAAGTCAATTACTTATCCCCAGTTCCTTATACTTCTGTGTCACCCCAAGTCATACATCTCCATATCCATCTGATGATTCTGAATAGCCTGGAACATGGAGGTCCCTTTAGAAGTTTTCTTTTTGTGCAGTGTTTTATCCTGTGTCACCCCCAGCTCAGCCTCCATTTTACAAATGCTCCTCGAATTTGCATCTAGCTGTGTATGAGAAAATAGCTCTTGGGTCACCCCAAATCAAGTCTCTGAGACTGAGGGCATCATGTCTCAGAATGTTCAGAACCATTTGACAGACACAGGGACACATGACTTGGTGTGACCTGAGAGATGTTATGTCAAACCACCAGTTATTTATTTAAATTAGGAGCCCCTGAACAATGAACCAGGATCCTGAATAGGGTGGGAATAGGTAACCCACTTCAGCCTCGTGGTTCCTTTATTTAGCACAGCCTCTGTCATCCCCTGAGCAACATAAACTATTGTCCCCAACCAGGGTAGGGAGAATAACTGTGAAGTGACAGAGTGATTTATATCATGTGACTGAGGTACTCAATCTGTCCTCAGACTGGTTGATAAGGCTCTCCTGACAGGTGGCCTGGACCCTCATGCCCATGTCTTCACTTTGGTATGTGTTCTCTCAGACAACTGGCAAGATGAATTACAGCAGTATTTATATTCATATTCAAGCTCTTTGTCTTTGCCTTCAAGGCCCTGCACAATTTAACTTCTACCTACTGCTCAGCTCATGATTACTTTTGCTCCCTGACCCTTCCAAGCTGTGTCTAGCTCATCCTTTCATGTCCCTCTGCCACACTTGTCTCTGTGCCTTCACTCTGGGGCTCACACTCCTGTACTCTTCATCCATAGGTCCCCCATTCCATCCTCTCCTCCTTCATATCCCTTCTCAAAACATAAATCTTCCATGACACCTATAAGCATCTGTGAATAAACTAGCCAAATTTCTTCACTTCTATCTGCTCTCTGACTCTGTCCCTCTGTCACCCTTGGTCCGAGAGGTGCTGGAACTAGGGGTCCTGGGGGTGCTGCCACACGCACTGGCTTGAAGTGGTTTCCATTATATACAGTTTAGAGTTTGGCTAAATGGCTTTCAGCACCCCCACTATACAAATTGTTCTAGCACCCCTGCTTACACCTGGTGGTGCTGGCAGCAACAAGGGCCAGGTTCCATATCTAGAGATTCCTGTTAATATTGCAAAACAGAAATGCCTCAAGCCCCCTGTTAGGGGCTTATTCCTTTACCCGCTTACTTCCCTGATCCTTCTCGCATGAATAGAGAGCAATAATACCCAAAGTCCAAAGGTGCAAACAATTCAATGTTTATTAGGGTGAACTTCCAGCAAGCATGATTCCAGTTTCCTTCCTCAGTGTCCCCCTTCCCAGCTCTGACACCAGAGAGCCTTACCTGTGTCCCTGTTCCCATTCCCCCCCTTAGCAAAACATGATTCCAACTTCCCCACCCCCATTCCCTCTCCCCATTCCCCCCTTTACTTCCTCATTGACTGCAGACTATATAGTAAAACTTGAGTTCTGCTTAGCTATACCTTAACCAATCATTTTACTGAAATTTAACTAACCAATCCTAACATATTGTAACATGATTAGCCAACCAATTATATCCCACTACCTTAATTAGTTTACACCCAGGAAAATTAATTATACAGCAGACAGAAACAATCACAGAACCAGACAGAGACCATGCAAATAAACAATAGCAAAGTGGGAAGTATAATGACAAAACAATACAGAAGAGAGGATTTCACAACTACATCTATAAAGACATAAGGGTTTCCCAGCTGCGTCGATTGATAAGTGAGTTCTTACCAAACAGGATGCTATCAAACTAAGTTTCCTTTTATGTCTTCTAGGCACTTCCCTTTCTCTGGAGGCGATAGGCATTATCAGGACAGGACAGTATTCCTAATAGCCCAATAGCACTTTATTTCAGTGTGGCTAGTTTGGAATGTGAGGATGTGACCGTTCGCTTCCCAGCTTATGGCTGCCTCTGCTGCTTAGCCAAAGGCCTAAGAACAGGGCCTCAGACTGTCACAGTCAGAGAAGGCCCTTACACCAGCAGACAGTGATTTTGATTCTTTCTTTTATATCTCTGTAACTAGCTAAGTGATAAGAATACACCTAAATTCTTAGAGTATAGGCCTTTACAGACAGGCCTGAATATCTATATCCTAACATCCCCACACAAAAAGCTGGGAGAACTAAATACCATCCCGGGCACCTCTAAGAGGCAATACTTCCCCTCTTGCAAACAGGAGTCTGTGAATAACAAAAGAAAACTTTTATTGCAAGGGAAAGGAAATGCAGCATTAATTTGGGAAAACACCACAATAATGATTCAAAAATATGCAAACTACAAGTGAACACCTCCCCACAATATCTTGGGCAGTGTCCTTTGCCTCAATTTCTCCCCTGGTGGAGTGAAAGCCTGACAGACAAATGTCCCTTTAACATGCTGCACCTCACTCACAGTCAGTTGTCCAAAGTCAGCAAAGTCCCAGAAGTCAGAGGTGCTTTCACGTGGGTTCAGCTCCCACCCCTGAGGGGGGCATTGAGCAATGCCCCTTCTGCTGCTCACTGCTACCGCTGTTGTCTATGCTGTTGCCTGCCATCTCTGCATCTAGCTGTGATGATTCCACTACCTAGTCCAGTTCTTAGTGATTTCATTGGGTAGTGATTCTTAGTGATTTCATTGGGAACCTTACTGCTGCTGTATCCTTTGTGTTGTATTTCAGTGCAATACTGTCTCTACGCAAGGTCTAAGGTTCAACCCCCTAGACCAGCGGTTCTCAAACTTTAGCAACCTGAGGACCCCCATTTTGATTTTAAAATTTTCATGGATCCCCAAACCTCCCGATCAGCCCCAGGCCCCATCACCCATTGCACCTCTTCCCATCCCCGCTCCACCTCTGCTACTCCTCTTCCCTGACTCTTTCCACACCCTCGCCCAAGTGCACCCCGTCCCCATTCCTCCCGCTCCCTACCAGCGCCTCCTGCATGCCACTGAACAGCTGTTCTCCAGTTCACAGGAGACGCTGGGAGGGAGGGGGAGGAGTTGATCAGTGGGGCCCACAAGCCCCCTGGAGTACCCTTGCAGACCCCCAGGGGTCCACAGACCTCAGTTTGAGAAGTGCTGCCCTAGACCTTGCCATCAGTGATTTCACCTCTAGTGAGTAATTAGTGAGCAGAAACAAGGACTCTCCTTTGAGTCTGATCAGCTCTGTCTTTAGACACTGGAGGGGAGTATCAACTGGTACAGGCTCTTTAAGTAACACCACATCACCCAGTAGGAACACCCATTCCAATCCTCTCTGACTTTCCCTTGGATTTGGCATCACTACTCCCTGCTTAATGAGCGAGGTAAGAGAGTGAGGTTAAAGTGAGGGTAACCCCCTCAATTAGGACACATTAAGTTCTGCTGCCCTTTCATCATACAATCAGGATAATAACATTTCATTATCCCCAGGTCCAAGATTAAAGTGCATATTAACCCAAAACAGCCAAAATTGATTACTTTCGCAAAGCAGGTCTCTCTGCTAATCAGGTGTGTCTATGCAAATACAGTCTGCTCCTAAAGTCTCTTCCCCCGGTTCATCAATAGAGGATAGAAGAAAACTTATTCTAACTGTTTACATATCTAGCTAGCTACTTAAATGCTGCCTGTAACTGAATTACCTGAGAGCCACCTAAAATTAAGGAATGTACTCATAAAGTAGTATGATTTCTCTCCAGTATGATTTCTCTCTTCTCTCCAGTTAGTAGGGGCTGGGCTTTGTATGCTCTTTGAGGCGCAGACCTTATTTCCGTTTTTGTATGTAAAGTGCCTAGAATGCTTTGGGCATGATACAATTTAAAATAATTTGGTTTGCTAAATAGGATCAATTTTCCTGCTATTCAGCAAACTAGATTCAGCTTTCCTGACCCAGAAATTTTGATGCTTGTTTAGGCCCTAACTATCTTTTAAATAACATTTTATCTCCTTTCCTTGAAGTTCACCCACACCCTTGAAAAACAAAATTTTGATTAGTACATTGAAAGCTCAGATGGAGGAATAGCTGCCAACAAAAACCATCTAAAAACACACACAGAGTAAAGGAAGCAGGGGTCA